TCAGCCCTTACAGGGAGGAGCCAAGTGCCAGGCTTGCTGTTACCCAGGCAGAGGAGAAAAGGGAGTTTTTAAATTAAAGACACTAGGCATGTTTGCTTATGGAAACAATTTGCTCATAGAGAAGATGCAACAGCACCAACCACATAGGACTCCAAAATCCCAAAGAACCTTATAAAACAGGACACACAACTCTTTATTTCCTCAGTTGCACACACAAAGACAGTGAGCAGAGAGCATGGCTTCTCTCAGACACAGCATGGAGGCCAAGTAGTGATTGGCGCCACATATACGTGCAGAGTGAACATGAACTAACCTAGAAAATGTATGTGTCCTGGACAGACCAATTCCTTGGGGGGTGGGGGTGGGGTGGAGAATCTGACACCCTCTTGAGTGTACAGAAGAAATCTCTCCTTTTGGAAAATTATTTTCAGGGGACATTTTTCTCTAGGCCTTGGTGCCTGAGGGTTATGACCACTTGGAACTCAATGATCAAGAGATCAAGAAAATAACTATTCAACTGATGTACCTAAAAAAATATTTTGCATGTAGTATAAATTACGGTCTCAAGTCTTCACAAGGGAGGTGGCTGAATACACATTCAGGCAGTTCCTAATTCTGTGATTTTGTGTTAAGGGTGTGTGTGTGTGTGTGTGTGTGTGTGTCTGTGTATGCACATGTGCATGCATGTAAGCATGTGCTCGGGTACATAGAACCAAGTGGTATCCTGTCCTATGTCTGGGGCACTGGGGCTCAAAGCCCCTGACAATTTCAAAACGAAACTAAACCTCTCATGAAAGAGAAAAAATTGAAGCCACAGTCATGTGCCCCAAACCTAAGAGTCCCTGCAGGGCCAACATGCTCTCAGAAAGCTGTCACATCCCTCAGAGAGACCTCTGCAGCTTGACTCATGAGGCAAAAAGGGTTCCCTTCTGGGTGCTAACATGGAGGTCACAGATGACGACTCAAATCTGTCATCCATCCATCCTTCCATAGCCTTAGTAATCCCAGGGATACCTAGAGATTCTATCCACTGCCTGTCCTGGGTGGCAGCTCTGGGAAGATCAAACAACATGTCCAAATCCTTGCATCCAGTTAAAGGTTTGAATTGTACCTGGCCTGGCTAGGTCAGACCTTACATCCTATCACCAGAAACAAGCCTGGGCTGGTTTTACCAGAGAACTGTCTTCCCTGGGGTCCTTCTGCCTGTCTGTTCAGCCAACCAGATCCAACAAGATCTGGAGAAAGAGAAAGGCAACAGGTTTTCTGTGTGACAACCACTGTCAAATAAAAAACAAATCCAGTCTTAGTAAGGAGAGAATTTTATTCAAAAGGACATTGCAGGCTGGGTATCATGAGTCACACCTATAATCCTGGCATTTTGTGAGGCCAGGGTAGGAGGCTCACTTGAGCCCAGGAGTTCCAGACCAACCTGGGCAGCATACAAAGTTAAAATATTAGTTAGCATGGTGGCAGGTACCTATAGTCCCAGCTACTCGTGAGGCTGAAGTAGGATCTTTGAGCCCAGGAGTCTGAGGTTACAGGGAGCTATGATCAAGCCACTGCACTCAGACTGGGCAATGAACCCTGAAACTCTGTCTCAGAAATAAATAAATAGCCAAACCAGACTTAGTAAGGAGAGACTTTTATTCAGAAGAACATTGCAATATGGGATGCTAGAATACCACAACAGGAATAAAGCTCTGACTTTGAGGTTTGCTAGCTCTCAAAGGAGAGGCAAAGAAAGTTTTTCTTTATAGGGAAGAGGGAATAGTGCTGGGAAGACTGGGTCTGGGGAAATGGGAAGAAGGGTGCCTAAGGGGACAGGAGAATTGAGGATGCTTACTGCAGAAGCTGGCCTGTTCCAGGAGAGGCCAAAGATCAGGGCCCTGGAAGACTAGAGAAGCTGAACTAAGATTGGGCAAACAGCTTTTTTTTTTTCGTTTCATTTTTTTTAAGAAATGGGATCTCACTCTGTTGCTTAGGCTAGAGTGTAGTGGCCCGAACACAGATCAATGCAGTTTCTAACTTCTAGGCCCAAGTGATCCTCTTGCCTCAGTCTCTTGAGTAGCTGGGACTATAGGCATGTGCCACCATGTTTGCTGATTTTTTTTTTTTTTTAGAGATGGGGTCTTACTATATTACCCATGCTGGTCTGAAACTCTTGGCCTCAAGTGATCCTCCCATCTAGGCCTCCCAAAGTGCTGGTATTACAACCATGAGCCATTGCACATGGTCTCAAACAGCATCTGGTTTGGATTGATTCACTGGGGACAAGCAGTTCAGGTAATCATTGATAAGGCAACTATGAGATTTTGAAAGGTGCTATGGTTTGGTTATGGTTTCTTTGTCCCCACTGAAATGTCATGTTGAAATTTGATTCCCAATGTTGGAGGTGGAACCTGACGGGAGATGTTTGGGTCATGGAGCTGATCCCTCTAGAATAGATTAATGCCTTCTGTCAAGGGGGGGTGAGTGAGTTCTTGCTCTATTATGAGAGTTGGTTGTTGAAAAGAACCTGGCACCTCTGTCCCCTCTCTCTTGTTTTCTCTCTCACATTTGATCTCTGCACATGGCAGGTCCCCTTCCCCTTCTTCTAGAAGTAGAAGCAGCCTGAGGCCCTGACAAGAAGCAAATGCTGGTGCTGTGCTTCTTGCATGGTCTGCAGAAGCATGAGCCAAATAAACCCCCTTTAAAAATAAATTACCCAGCCTCAGACACTCCTTTGTAACAGCACAGAATGGACCAACACAATGTGTTTGCATCTGTCGTTGTCATAAGTCAATGAGCAGCACTATAGAATTCCACCTCCTACCTTCTTAGGGTCCAGGCTGGACCCAGGAATTAAACTGACTTAAGACAAATAAACAGGAAAACACATACAAATTTACTTAATGCAAGTTCTATTAATACATGGCCCAGGAACCCTCATAAGGAAATGAACACCCCAAGAAACAGAGTCAAATCACTTATTTGACTTCTTTGTACTGAGGTGGACAAAGATTAGTAAATTGTGAAATGTAACTAGGCAAAGGGGCTTGGTCTAGGGCAGGTAATTGGGTGAAGAAGTGACTAGGTCTAAGCACTTACAAACTAAGTTGAACAAAAAGTGGCAACTGTGTAAAAGATGAGGAAGATAAGGATTTGTTGGCTCAGCATCTGTAGCTCAGGGGTTAGGGCGCCAGCCACATACACCAGAGCTCGTGGGCTCGAACCTGGCTTGGGTCTGCTAAACAAACAAATAAGCAACAACATAATTGGTGGGACCACACCTATGGGGCATCTTACAAGTATACATGTGAAATTTACTAAATGTAGAATGTAAATGTCTACGCAATAACTAAGAAAATTCTGTGAAGGCTATGTTAACCAGTTTAACGAAAATATTTCAAACTGTATATAAAACCAGCCCATTGTACCCCATGATTGCATTAATGTACACAGCTATGATTTAATTTAAAAAGAAAAAAGCAATAACAACAAAAAATAGCCAGGCATTGTGGCAGGAGGCTGATGCAAGAAAATCGCTTGAGCCCAATAGTTTGAGTTTTTTGTGAGTGATGATGCCACAGCACTCTACAAAAGGCAAGAAAGTGAGAGTCTGTCTCAAAAAAAAAAAAAAAAGATTTGTTTAACAAGGTTTATTTATACATATTTTCCTTGGCTTCTGTATTTAAGTTTAGAGTTGCTAAAGGAATCTCTGAGGCTGGATAATTTATAAAGAAAGGGGGTTTATTGGGCTGTACAGAGTTCTGCAGGCTGTACCAGAAACACAGCAGCATTTCCTGGTCAGGGCTTCAGGCTGAATCCACTCATGGTGGAAGGGGACCTTCTCTGGCATATGCAGAGAATCCATGGTCAGAGGGGCAACGAGAGAGAAGGGAAGGAGCTCTCTGGGGAACTAATAGCACAAGAACTCACCCATTGTCTCCTCTACCCTAGCCAGGGCATTAATAGATTCATGAGGGATCAGCCTCCAGGACTCAAACACCTCACACTAGGACCCTCCTCCAACACTAGGGATCAAGTTTCAACAAAGGTTTGGGGGGCAAACATCCAAACCACAGCAGTTTCCACTTCTTGTCCTTGAGGATAAAAACATTACTTTCCTTCTATTGTGAGGAGGACATCTTTCATAGGGGCATTTCATCTCCTACTTTTTAGCATGAACTTCTTGCACCTGCTGTATTGGTTTTTCTTAATGCCTTTAATTGAAAACAGTTAATACAGGCCAAGTGTGGTGGCTCACGCCTGTAATACTAGCACTCTGAGAGGCTGAGACGGTGGATCGCCTTAGCTCCCGTGTTTGAGACCAGCCTGAGCTACAAGATCCCGCCTCTAAAAATAGACGGGGGTTGTGGCCGGCGCCTGTGATCCCAGCTACTGGAGAGGCTAAGGCAAAAGAATAGCTTGAGTCCAGGAATCTGAGGTTGCTGTGAGCTGCCATAGCACTCTACTGGGGGTGACAAAGTGAGACTCTGTCTCAAAAAAAAAAAGTTAATATGCCAGAAATGCATATTTTTGCCTTCTTCGGCATACTAAATCTCATCTGAGTCATACAGAGAAAGGGATTGTTGCGGGTCATAAAGGGTGACCCACGAAAAGGGAATTCCTTTAACCCTGGCTGTTTTCCTCAGGAAAACTGATCATTGTCACTTATAAAGGTGGAGTGGGGAATGTTGGCTTCTGGAAGGTACTCCCCATCCCAGCCAGGCTGGGGAGGAAGGAAAGTGGAGCGCTGAGAGGACTTGAGGGCTCTTGTGACCTCCTGCCTCTCCCTGGTCTACCCTGGTACTGTGTGTGCTCACCTCAGTGTCCACAACCCCAGCGAATATAAAAGACAGGCTGCAGAGTGGGGGCCAATCAGTGCACGGCCTGCCATCACGCCACACGGAGGGTGGCCAATGGGAATGCGGCACGCTCTATAAAAGAGGGCACCACAGGTGGCGTGCTGGCAGTTAGAGGACGGCGGCGTTAGTAGAAGCAGCAGTAACACTAGAGCTATGGCACGAACTAAGCAGACTGCGCGGAAGTCGACTGGCGGCAAGGCACCGCGCAAACAGCTGGCCACTAAGGTTGCTCGCAAGAGCGCCCCGGCCACTGGCGGCGTGAAGAAGCCGCATCGGTACCGTCCTGGTACGGTAGCGCTGCGTGAGATCCGCCGCTACCAGAAGTCTACGGAGCTGCTGATCCGCAAGCTGCCCTTCCAGCGGCTAGTTCGCGAAATAGCGCAAGATTTCAAGACTGATCTACGTTTCCAGAGCTCAGCAGTGATGGCGCTGCAGGAGGCCTGCGAGGCATACCTCGTGGGGCTCTTTGAGGATACCAACCTGTGCGCCATCCATGCGAAGCGCGTCACCATCATGCCCAAGGATATCCAGCTGGCACGCCGCATCCGCGGGGAGCGGGCCTAAGCTCCGCAGGCATCCGTAGCCACCAACTGTCATTCACCACAAAGGCTCTTTTCAGAGCCACCCACCTCGTCACGTAAGTGGCAGTAACACTTTAGGGTTCTGGGGTTTCCACTCCCTTCACTTCCCTAACTGAGGAGGTAAGGAAGTTATCTATCTCTCAGGTTGTAAGTTCTACATATACCTCAAAACCCAGTTTGTCTGGGTCCAACGAGTCTGTTAGCTTGGCCTGTATCTCACTACATTCAATAAACACCCGGGTGAGTGGTGTGTGCCCGACTCGAGGTCACAGGATGTGGTGCCTGCTTTTATAGAGCCTGCCATATTCCCATTGGCTAGTTAGTGTGATGGCAGGCTGTATTCTGATTGGCTCCAATTCTGCCGCCTGCCCTTTATATAGGAAACACCCACTATATAGAGAGTTGGTCTGGGGTAGGCCAGGGCTGTGGGAGGATTAGAAGTTAAGCTGGCAATATGTATGTGTATACTCACCCCGTCTGTAGTTAGCTTGGAAGGTTGGCTAGCCGAGTTACCTCAGTCTAATTACTAATTTCTAATTACGTTACAAATCCGACTAGGGGTTCATTTGCTCGGGCCTCACTCAGCATGTTTACAAATCTAGCTAATAATCTTTATTGTTAATTCTCTTTTTCTAAACAGTCTTGGGCCAGGTGCAGGGGCTCAGGCCTGTAATACCAGCACTTGGGAGGCCGAGGGGAGGGGATTGCCTGAGCTCATGCGTTCAAGACCAACCTGACCAAGAGTGAGACCCCCGGCTCTAAAAAAATAACCGGGTGTTACGGCGGGTGCCTGTAGTCCCAGCTACCTGGGAGGCTGAGGCAAGAGAATCACTTGAACCCAAGAGTTTGAGGTTGCTGTGAGCTG